GCATGAAACTTGCATCTTTCACCAATAAAATGTGTCCTCGGTATGTAGTGACTTTTCAACAGCGTGACCAACTCTGTCAACGTTTTTTCACTTGGTTTCTGTGAGTCTTTCTGCCAACAATCGTCAGAAAAATTGCTTTAGACTTATCATCCTCGTACTTGAGCCCATTAGCTTCAAAATACTGTTCCAACTTTTCCAAATAGGCTTCGAAACTTTCCTCACATCCTCGAAGTGAAAATCCTCGGCCTTGCCGGATGCCATCTTCGGTGCTAGCTTTTCCACAGACTGTCTCGATGGAGCTAGCACTTTCTTGCTCGCTCTGTTCCCCTTCAGACAAAAACTCTGGTACATCGTCGCCAAACTGTTGCATCCCCAGTTAAAGGAAGTGGGTTATTTTTAGTTATTGCAAAGAGAAACTTGACAGTATAAAGCATTAACATCACGAAGATGGTTTATTTCCAACATGACAGCGGATACAACATAGCCGGTTCCAAGCTGAGTCCATCTGCACCCTCTCAAAGGTAGCACACTTGAATACCCTGGCCAACAACCAATGACGGCCTGCCAATTAAGCTATGTGAATCCAATCAGATACATATTTCTAATATCACGCACTGAACACGTGCATACCATTTTAACCAGGTGTGCATAATAACATGCTGCTTATTACATTGACATTTTAGTCATTTAGCAGACGCTCTTATCCAGAGCGACTTACAGTTAGTGAGTGTATACATTATATTTTTCATACTGGCCCCCCGTGGGAATCGAACCCACAACCCTGGCATTGCAAACGCCATGCTCTACCAACTGAGCTACATCCCTGCCGGCCATTCCCTCCCCTACCCTGGACGACACTGGGCCAATTGTGCGCCGCCCCATGGGTCTCCCGGTCGCTTATCTCTCAAACACTACTCATACCACTCATAAAAGAATGCAAAGCTGCAATAATTTTCAATATGAATCCACAAGTACAAATAGGAATAGCTGATAGGCAGCGGAGAGGCCAGGTGCATCATTGCTCATGAAAGAACATGATCTTGTTTAGGGACAATACAATCAGGGGTGCAGTGCTACCTGAGCAATTTGACTCGAATACACGGAGCTGGTAAAACTATTTCTGTAAAAAAAAATCTGATAAATTCTGATCTATTCTAAATACATTATATTTAATTACCACTAAAATTATATGACAAACTATGGAATGCAAACCAAATAAATATGTATACCAGAGGTAGGTAAATGGAGGTTTCTTCCGGTCTTCTTTCTGGCAGTGGCGAGAATGATGAACTATTAGGCTACCTGGGTGCACTGCTGAAACCTGTCAGTCTTGACCACTTTGGCCAACCAGAACGTTGTAAAAGGCCTTGAGGATGTTCATAGAACTCCATGGACCACTCTTGCACAGTGGAACCCAGAACTATATGTAACCACTTGGTTAAGGCGACGCCGTTATGCCAAGGACACCCAAACAAACCAGAGTGGCCACCGAAAAATTCCAAGGAGCCTGACCCTCTCTGGAAGTTGCTGTAGTCCTGGTTGGGATACAGTATTTAGCCTACATTGGCTATTGGTTGAGACACAGGGCCGGTTCTAACTTGGTATGTCAGGATGGGCAATTGGACATGCGAATTGGGCCAAGTTGGAGGTAATAATGCATTTAGGTTATAGTTTCTGAGATGCATGAATACACCACACCAAAAACTAGATTTTATGGCTGTACAATTCTACATAGTAATGATTTATGTTCACTACTTGGTCAATTGATTTACGCAAATCAATTCTATGAATTCATAGTTCAAGTCTCTGTTTTCTTTTATTATGTAATAGGGTATATTATAAACATGTGTTCAAGATAATCAAATCAAAGATGATTTATGATACAGCGTGTAAGCTACACAATACAGTGAAATGCATACTCGCAATAAAGCTCTCCTCGCAAACAGTGCAACGATATTAAGCTATATGTATTCACACAACGATTAATTTGCATGTTACATAACAGAACCGAATATAATACCGTAGCATAGTAGGGCTATAACGTTACTGCTACGCCAAAAACACCTCATTTCAAATGAGATTTTAGGATGGTTAGCTGAAGCCGAATAGTTTTTTCTCATGCGCCAAAACTGAAGAGAGCGGGATATAGGAAGGATATGTTTTAATTGAAACAAAACAAAATACAAGAAAGGCTAATTTGCTCACGAAAAAGTAATTCAAGAAGATCTAAATGCTTATTCCCTTGAAACTGATGGAGATGCAGTTTGGACGTTTCACCGGTAAAACATGAAGAATTATAATTCACGATAGACAGTGATGGCCTATTTTTAAATTAGGTAGCCTATGCCTAACTTGGCGTTTGAGGGTATTAAAAGTATACATTTTTCTTTAGACAATAGCCTATGTGTGGGTATAGGCAGACGTTGCAATTGGAGGATGCATTTTTTATGCATATTCTATAATGATAGGCTGTTAAATTGGCTACATTAGTCGGTACAAACTTTGAGGATTTTATGACTTAATTATTTTAATTGTTTTAATTGCGCTCCCTCGCTTAAAGAAATGGCACTACACCACTGAATACAAGTATCCTACATAGACTAGCCTACAACACCATAATGCAATGAATAATTGCATTATTGTTATCTAGTGAGTATAACATTCTACTCTAGGCTGCAGTGAAAATGTCATTTGAATAACTGCGCAAAAGACCTGTGATTTCAATATTTAATTCCATTTGGATCAGGTGTGGGTCTACTCTCAACAGTTTATAAGGTCCAGAAAGCCACGGTAGCAGGTCAGTCTGGCTGTATTTGTTTGTATATTGGTTGTGTGGTGCATTGGCAAAGAAACCTGTTGGTGGAGAATTCATTGCATATATTTTATATAGTTATAAATATGGCATCAAAATTGGGAAAATCTAATATCCCCCTAGCTGATCATTGTCCGCTGCAGGCTCTGATCGTAGTGTAATGAAATCGGCAGAGAGTGAGCTTGTCGATGGTGGTTGGCGAACCGTCAACCTTCTGGCCCGTAGCCCTGTGTGGCATCGACTGTGCCACAAAAGTATTATACTGTTGCAAAGTCGATATCTACGTTTATAAATACAGGGTCACCACAGTTATTGTTATTTGTGGTTGTAAACATTATTCCGAGTTAATTATATGAGGGGGGAGGGTGTGCAATTTATTTTACAGTACAAGGGGAAGGTCATGTGAAAATATTTTTAAAGTTGGGGAGGTGGGTGCATTTTCTTATGACACCTTCACCCTTATCAGTAGCCATGGTGATCACATAATGTTCTTATTAAAACACAGATACTGCATCCCCTAAAACTACAGGTTCAACACCAACCCCATGGAGTCCATCTTCAAGTATAGGTTACCCATTCATTGGCCAAAATGTAAATCCTATCAAATTAGATGAACAAACAAAGCGCTACCAAGTTTACGGATGTATATTAGAAGAACAAATGTAATCACTAAATGTGATGCGCCTCCTTACATACAGGTTCAACAGGAATATTTGTAAGCAATAGGTAGACAAGATAGAATAGAAATGAGTAGGACAGCTAATGTTGTTCAAAGCAATGTTCTGAGGTGGGTGCGCCAGCCACACAGGCAGCCATATCTGGTTTGCCATTTGGAATGTTCGATTTATTGACACGACATCTCTGAACTATGTGCCGCATCAATTCTACGCCTTTATCAGTGTTCTACACATGAAACAACTCCAGCAGTTTCCATTGTCTTGCCATATTAGACTACCAACAGCTATAGATCCACCCAAAAGTGGCAGGGAAATGTTCAGGCAGGACAGCAATATGGTCTCACTAAACACAAATACTGCGTTTGTAAAGGATGTCTGAGTGTTGGAGTGTGCCCCTGGCTGTCCGGAAATACATTTTAAAAAAGGAAATCGTGCCATCTGGTTTGATTAATATTAACAATTTGATGTATAGCAATTACTTTTACTTTTTACTTTTACTCAACTATGACATTTGCATACCTTTTCCACCACTGTACTTAAGTACATTTAAAACCAGATCCTTTTAGACTTTTACTCAAGTAGTATTTTACTGTGACTTTTTACTTTATTAAGGTATCTTTACTTTTACTCAAGTATGACAACTGAGTACTTTTTCCACCACTGCCTGACTCTATGTGGATAGACAACCCCAACCCAGTTTTATGACATAATGAGGCCAACTAAAGGTGATGAAGTGATGCGGTCACTGGCAGGCAAGTTCACAGATCAGGCTCTAGGGGTTCCTGAGCACCTACCCTTTCGCCCTCCTATGAGAAAAGTGCCATAAAGTGCCCTTTCAGATTGGTAGCATTTTTTAAATAATACAAGTTTATTCTACTTTTAGTATATTTTCTTTCCTTTTCTGTAAAGAATTGCCCCATCAAACTAGGTAATCATTTTTGAATCTTGGGAAATTCCCCTCCTCCCCCGCTCTGCTCCTCTCTTCTTTCCCACGCTAGAGTGCACTGCACTTGTCCTCATGCTGGTGCAGAAGCTACTGGCGCCTATTGGTAGTATGAGGCTACTTTTTAAGTTGTATGGCGTCTCTCACGGTCAGGGACAGGGAAGGGTTCCATTCAACAGTTTTTAAGTAGGCCTACAATGCAGATGTTAGCACCTGCCCCTCCAAAGGTTGGTGCACGGCCCTGGTCACTGGGGTTTGGAGTCAATAAGGGGGTGGTCTACAGATTAGTTTTATCACCTAACTAGCCCCTCCTCTACCAAGCTAACCTCCACCCTAGATACCACCACCAGGATTTAAGCAGCTTTGCATCTACCTCTAGAGCCATTCTGTAGCTAGCTGAGAAGAGAGCACAGGAGTTGTCTTTGACATTTTGTTGAAATCTTCTGAATTCTTCTCAGTGGGTGAGTACTGTAGAGAGACAACTGAAGTATACCATATCTCCTTTTACGTGGAAACCAAAGAGGCAGTTTTTCTCCTTCAATGTTGAAAAAACTGTGCAACTAGCAACATGTGTACAGGAAAGTGCTCTAAGGTCATTGCGATCTCGCTCTACATCCTGGCGGGGGTCTCAATCATCTGTAACATCATTGCATTCTTCCCTGACTGGTCTACGAAGTACGCCAAGTTGGACAGAGAAGAAAATGGAGCCCGGATCACCGACGAGGTTAAATACATGGGAGGTGTCATCGGCGGAGGAATCATGGTGAATTGAAAGTTTAGTTAGACTATTATGTGACTTCATTGGTTTAGAAGACTAGACTTATGTTCAGTTCCATTTAAATCCAGTCAATTTGGAAATGTTCAATTGAAATTGGTCAAATTTTGAATAGAAATGTCAGTTTGTTGACTGAACTGAAATGGAATTGACCCCAACCCCCGTTTAGACATGCTGATTCTATGGAGTATTGGTCACACCATGATCACAGTTTTGTGTGGTCATTTCCAAGATAAATCTGTACATTTTAAATATGCTGTCTCTAAATATGCTACTCAACACCAAAACAGTTGTGATTAAAGTATTCTCAAATGTTTTATTTTCCTATGCTCTCGCTCTCTCTCTCTCTCGCTCTCTCTCTCTCTCTCTCTCACTCTTCAGTGCCTTATTCCAGCAATCCATATCCACCTGACTAGCAGCAATGGTTGCTGTGCCAACCGCTGTGGGGTAAGTCTAACTACACTCTCCTAACCACAGATCTAGGATCAGTTTACTCTGCCCCCCCCAATCCCAACATTAACCATTAATATCTGATCCTGTATCAGTTGTTAAAGACAACTTCTACCTACTTTAAACCCATAACACCTTACACAATATGAGGGTGAGCGGCTTGGACCTATGGGTGGGGCAATGACTGTTACAGCCATAACAGTTAAAGAAAAAAGACCCTTACTTTACCACACCCTGCTGGTGAAACAGGTGTAATACCAGGAAATAACTCACTGGGTGTCTATGGCCAATGATTGCCCACAAAGTAACACTCACATTATGGTTAGTGTAATTTCACAATAAAGCAATTTGTGACAAGGAACATACCTCTTTTGGCAAAAGCATTACATTACAAGATAAATCAAATGTAACTACTGGCTGAGAAACTCACTGTATTTATTCAACCTTTAGTTAATCCAAGTTTGTAGAAGCCTAAAAAAATCTTATTTTCCAAGTGGTAAATACACAACAAAGATTAAATGTACAACATACTCAACCTTCTCTTCCCCTGACCCCTGACCTCTGGATTATCCTTACTACACTTTAGATGTTCCTGTCCATTGGGTTTGCTGCTGCTGGGGTTGTTGGAGCGCTGTACAGTCTGGCTACGTCTGCCCTGGGCCTGTCCAATGGACCTGTCTGCCTCTTTATGGAAACACCAACCTCTGTTCCAGGGTGGGGGAGACCTTTCCTGAACAAGTAAGTATTTTATTCACTTATTTTTATATGGTTTATTTTATTACTTGTTTATAATTGTATTTTTATGGTTTATTTGACCAGGTAGTCCCATTGAGGTCAAAGACGGTTTTTTCAAAGATAATATATGTATATTTATTTTTGCTATGTCTTTGGGGACTAGGCCTGGCTACTGTAAAGAACTTTCTGACTAAATATAATTGATTGATTGTTCCTCATTGCAGCAACGGGAGTTACCTGGGTGACAGTGACCTGTGGGCGAAGTGTAAAGAGCCCAAAGGTGTTGTGGAGTTTAACCTTGGGTTGTTCGCCACACTGCTGGTGGTGGCTTGTCTGGAGCTGGTGCTGTGTGGAATACAGATGGTCAACGGACTGTTCGGATGCATCTGTGGTACCTGCGTTGGCAAGGAGGTGAGAGGGGGGGAGGGGGTGAAAGAAAGATAGAGGATTAGTGTTCACCTAACCTTTGACCTCTATTTCCTGCCAGTAGGAAGCGTGATGAACCATCGACGCTTGAGGACCACGACGTAGAACAGACCACATCCACATCTGCACCCATTTGTCAAGAGGAATGAATGGTTATTGAAGAATGGTTGACATATTCACTGTCTCTTCTCTGTAAGGCCTACAAAGACTGGAGTATTTATAATGGACTTATAATGGCTTAGTGTAGTAGGCTGTTCAAAACACATCAGTGAATGTAATAATCAGTAGTTATGTTCATTGATATGACATTCTGTAAATGTTATGTTTCTCTATAATTCTATGCATATTTTATGTTATATTTTGTAATAAATGCTGGGGGGAAAAACGTATTCTGTTTATTCTTTATTTCGTTTTTGACTTTTTTTTGGTAACATTTCCTTGTGACATTTTTTGTCATGAAAATATTTTATTCAATTGTAAGTAAATATGCTCACAGTTGAAGGGTATTCAACAGAACAGATCATATCATTATCATTCATTACATGATCACAGCATTACATTTATTGAATGATTCGATGGTATTCCGTTACAAATGTAGCCTGCATGAAACAGTATGGAGGAAGAAATACGTAAGACATTTAAAGCTGCAATATGTTTTTTTTGGGGGCAAACCAACGAAATTCACATAACATTTAAAGTTATAGATCTGTCGTTCTCATTGAAAGCAAGTCTAAGAAGCGGTAAATCTGTTCTATGTCCGCTATTTATATGCTTCCCTTCTAACGTTTAGTTTTTGCATCTTTTACTTTCGGTTTTGTATACCAGCTTTAAACAGCTGAAAATAAAATATTTTTGGTTATGGAAGATATATTTACAGCGTTTTAGATGGTACAATGATTATCTACACCTGCTTATTTTGTCACATAAACAAACTGAAACTGAGCGAACTATTATAATTTTTGCAACCAAGACACGTCGGCGCTATTTCTGCATATTGCACCTTTAAACAAAAGAATATGACCCCGACGTGATTTGAACACGCAACCTTCTGATCTGGAGTCAGACGCGCTACCGTTGCGCCACGAGGTCCATACAGAATAAGCTTAGTATAGTTTATATAACCTAGCTTAGTATGGTTTATATAACTTCTGGTGCCCGTTTGCTGTAGTGAAACAGCTATATTGTGACCGTTATTTGTTACATTGTTAGCTACAACTGTACAAAGTGGTTCTTCCGGTTTGCGAAATGTAGCCTAAAATATATATATATATATATATATACAATACAAGTTTAAAATTAAAAACGTTTTGATACTGCTACTGTTCAAATGGGATGTAAATTCTTCATTACACAAAAATATAATCATTTCTTGATTCAAAACGTTTTTCTTTTTCGAATCCAAATGATATCTAGCTACGTCATGATTAACAGCATGCATTGTCAAGTGAATTTAAATGTCCATTCCTTCTCTTTCCAGTCACGTAAAAGTCAGTGGCAGTCCTATAATTCTCACTCAGTGGGCCCTTAATAGGAACTGTAACAGAGAGGCTGTGTGTGTGTGAATGCATTGAGAGCAGTTAGCTTCCCCTTATAAACGCAGAAAAGAAACAGTCAATAATGTCACAGACAGAGAGACATACATTCACTAACACAGATATAGAGTGAGAGAAGAATGAGAACAGATACAGAAAGAGAGAGCAGAGAGAGACTGAGAGAAAAAAAGAGAGAGGTTTGAGAAAAAAAGAAGAGAGAGTGATGGAGAGAGAAAACGAGAAGAGAGATTGAGAGAGGGCTACTCCTTCTTTGCAGACTGATGATTCGCATTTCCTGATCAGAACAGAGACACATATCTTGTCTGTAGTTCAGAGAGATAAGACATAGGAACCAAGGGACTGCTATTTAGACCTCAAGAACTTAGAATCTCCAACTCACAGAATCATCAAACAGGTGAGTTCCATTCCATGCAATCACTATTAGCTGTGTATGACTCTAGTCTCTGTGTGTACCAACATCATACTCACTCCACACTGGTACTGTATGCTTCCAAACATCAATGATACTTTGTAACTACATCAATAACTGCAGATGAGGTTGAATGATGACTTCATCTGTGTGGGTGTGTGTGTGTGTTTGTATTTACATTACAGTGTAGGTGATGAGAGAAAGAGAGAAAGAGGAAAAAGTCAGGGGGAAAAAATGAAATGACTTGAGAGAGAAACATCTCAACGGTTGCTTCACACAGAGTACCATCTTTGCTTTATTCTCTACAGTTACAGATACCATTGCAATGGAGATTGAAGTAACTCTATACCAGGCGGTCATAAACTGTTCTCTCTGCTACCGCACGGCAAGCGATATCGGAGCGCCAAGTCTGGTCCAAAAGGTTTCTTAACAGCTTCTACCCCCAAGCCATAAGACTCCTGAACAGCTAATCATGGCTACTCAGAAAACTTGGGGGGACAAATAAAACCACCCGCGGGCCAAATTCGCCCCGGGGTCGTCAGTTGGGGAACCCTGATCTAGACCATAGAAAACAATTACATCTTGGCTACAAAGGAATTAAATCGATTTTCAGAAAATATACATACCAGGAGACATAACACATCAACCGAGATACATTTCTCAACTGTTTTGCGATGCTATAGCAGTCATGTAATGTCTGATCATGCTTTTATTGCATGGGGAAACACAGCCTTTACAGTCTCCGTGACTTTATGAGACATTAATAAAGGCATTAGCTTTCACTGTAGTAAGACATATTTTTGTTCCTCTTTGGTAAATGCAATAACCAATTTGAATATTACACTGAGTGTACAAAACATTAAGAACACCTTTCTAATAGTGAGTTGCCCTCAGAACAGCCTCAATTTGTCAGGGCATGGATTCTACAAGGTGTTGAAAGCGTACCACAGGGATGCTGGCCCATGTGGACTCCAATGCTTCCCACAGTTGTGTCAAGTTTGCTGCAGTTCTTGACACAAACTGGTGCGCCTGGCACCTACTACCGTACCCCGTTCAAAGGCACTTAAATCTTTTGTTGCTTTTATGTATTTTGTTTTGTTGCTTTTTCTGCTATTGCTCTGTCTGCGTGCTACGTGTTGCTTGTCCTATGCCTCTCTGCATGTGCTCACTGCTAATTGTTTGGCTGTATTGTTATTGTAATTGTTTTTAATAACCTGCCCAGGGACTGCGGTTGAAATTTAGCCGACTGGCTGAAACATTGATTAATGTGCACTGTCCCTGTAAAAATATAACTCTTGCCCAATCACCCTCTGAATGGCACACATACACAATCCATGTCTCAATTATCTCAAGGCTTAAAAATCATTCTTTAATCCTCCTCTTCATCTACACTGGTTACGTGGATTTAACAAGTGACATCAATAAGGGATCAGTCTGTGGCATGGAAAGAGATGTTCATAATGTTTTGTACACTCAGTGTATATGGCATTGTATCTGTCAGGGGGAAATCTTTACAGCGTTAAAAAATGACTTCCTCCCTGACTGACTGGCTGTTCAGTATCCTGATTTCATAATCTTGGCAGTTAGACTTTGTATACAAGACAACAACAGTGAAAATAGATGTGCGTGAAATCAGATTCCATCCCTTTACCCCTTCCTTTGAAGGAGACAACTGAATTAATATTTTATTAATCAAATGTTTTTTTGTGTATAAAAACAGTCATGTTAAAATATATCACATTAAACATTTAATAATGACAGAATGCATTTTAAACTTCACGCAATGTAACACTTGTATGACGTAATTCAAAAATAAATATAAATAGGAGTGGGGAAAACGGTTATTGTTGATTGATGAGCACACCAAACTACACCAAAGACGGCATTAAAGATAAGTAATCAAATAAAGATGGCACTTCTAAAAGCCTATTTCACACCATAACTTGCTGAATTTGCAAGATAACCTTTCTTTCATTTTGATCCCTGGCCGTGACCCCACTCTCCGAGGGTGCCTCAGGAGGAGTAGGTATATACCAAAAATATATTTCCATTTCACACCTCACACTCATACAGGTTACCCACCTGTCCTTGCAGTGAAACAGCGGCAGGCGTTCGAGAAATAAAACCGTCATAGTATAGATGAAGCCTGAGCTGGAATCTGACGCTAACTGAAGCTGGTTAGCTTTAGAAAACCCTGAGTAGATCTAGCTTGCTTCGTAGGATACCCCTCTGGGGATACAAATGAGACAGTCAAAAAAATACACAGACAGACTATTGGGGAAATGGAGCCTCTTTCACAATAACTCTGTAAAAGACCAGTACACAGAGGGAGATGAAGGGAGAAATAGGAAATCGAAATACTTAGAAGAGGGAGAATGATAGAGCAGACTTTCACACTCTCTGCTGTGGCGTGATTCTTACGAAACACCTAATTGTATTAGTTTCGACACCAACCACCTCTCTAGCACACACACAAACACCCAAAAAAATAACTAGTTAAGAGGGGACTACAGAGTCTTCAGAGGAAAGGGTGGGGGTTGTGGTAGAGGTACTTCAAAGGGAACAGTTTGATCTTGTTCTCTGTCTATCAATCTATCTATCTCTCTCTCTATCTGCCTCGCCTCTCTTTCCTGTCCTCCTCCTGACAGGTAGACAACACAACAGAATTCACATAGAATTTAGAAGGAAACTACCCATGTCCACATGTAACTGACATTCTCGCTCTCTCGCGCTTGCTCTCTTGCTCTCTTTTGCTCTCCCCCTCTGCAGAACAGCACCACCAAAGACAAGGTAACGATGACCATCAACACCACCCATAACTGCACCGAGCCCCAGAGTAACCTTATTTTCGTGGGGGTCTACGCCATTGTCTTCACCGTCGGCCTCTTCCTCAACGTCACAGGTACAGGGAGAGAGCATACTCAACTCTTACCCTCTTACATAAAGAAATAAAAGGGTGCTTGGAGCCAACAATCTATCACATCAAAAATGAAGCCTCCTCAGGCCATATGTATCAAGCGTCTCAGAATAGATCTACTGTAGGATCAGGCCCTCCCCATCCATGTAATCTTATTCATTGTGATCTGAATGTCACACCCTGGCTCTGGGGACTCTAATATGTTGAGCCAGGGTGTGTAGAGTCTATGTGTGTTGTTCTATGTTCTCATTCTAGTCATTTGTGTTTCTATGTTGGCCGGTGTGGTTCTCAATCAGAGGCAACGTGAATCAGCTGTTGCTTGTTGTCTCTGATTGGGAACCATACTTAGTCAGCCTGTTTCCCACAATGTGTTGTGGGATCTTGTTCCGTGTTGGTTTATGTTTGTTAACCAAGGACTTCACGTTATCGTTTGTTGTTTTGTTCGTGTTGGAATCATTAAATAAATAAGTATGTTTGCAAATAACGCTGCGCGTTGGTCCTCCTCCTTCGACGACCGTGACAGAAGATCCCACCAATATAGGACCAAGCAGCGTGCCCAGGAGCAGACAGCCTGGACGTGGGAGCAGATATTGGACGGGCAGGTGTCCTGGACCTGGGAGGAAATCCAGGCCGGGATGGATCGCCGTCCGTGGGAGGAGACGGTGGAGGCGCGCCGGAGAGAGGAGCAACGGCGTCAACAGTGTCGTCGTCGGATGGACGAGAGGCAACCCCCAAATTTTTTTAGGGGGGGGCACACGGCATGGGCGACGGGGCAGCAGGAGGCAGCCACAGGGCGTATTGGGAGGTTAGGAGAGGAGGCCACCAGGTTAAGGGGGCTATTGGTAAGGAGAGAGCAGGAGTTAGTGGGTCAGAGGGAGGAGCTACTGGATGCTAGAAGGGAGAAGGAGAGACTAGAGGCAAGACGAGAGGAACTGAGTAGGCAGCTGAGGGAGCGGAGGGTTATGAAGAAACCCAGTCCCGCTCCTCACACCAAGCAAGTGGTGTGTGTCACCAGTCCGGTCCGGCCCGTTACTGCTCCCCGCACTAAGTTAGTAGTGCGTGTTCCCAGTCCGGCCCGACCCGTTCCTGCTCCCCGCACAAAGTTAGTAGTGCGTGTTCCCAGTCCGGCCCGACCCGTTCCTGCTCCCCGCACTAAGTTAGTAGTGCGTGTTCCCAGTCCGGCCCGACCCGTTCCTGCTCCCTGCACTAAGTTAGTAGTGCGTGTTCCCAGTCCGGCCCGACCCGTTCCTGCTCCCCGCACTAAGTTAGTAGTGCGTGTTCCCAGTCCGGCCCGACCCGTTCCTGCTCCCCGCACTAAGTTAGTAGTGCGTGTTCCCAGCCCGGCCCGGCCTGTTCCTGCTCCCCGCACCAAGCCTATGATGTGCGTCGCCAGCCCGGTCCGGCCCGTTCCTGCCACTCGCACCAAGCCTACGGTGCGCGTCGCCAGCCCGGCCCGGCCTGTTCCTGCCACTCGCACCAAGCCTACGGTGCGCGTCGTCAGCCCGGTCCGGCCTGTTCCTGCTCCCCGCACCAAGCCAATGGTGCGCGTCGTCAGCCCGGTCCGGCCCGTTCCTGCTCCGCGCACCAAGCCAGGGGTGCGCATCGTCAGCCCGGTCCGGCCCGTTCCTGCTCCCCGCACCAAGCCAATGGTGCGCGTCGTCAGCCCGGTCCGGCCCGTTCCTGCTCCCCGCACCAAGCCTATGGTGTGCGTCGCCAGCCCGGCCCGGCCTGTTCCAGCTCCACGCACCAAGCCAGGGGTGCGCGTCGTCAGCCCGGTCCGGCCCGTTCCTGTTCCCCGCACCAAGCCAATGGTGCGCGTCGTCAGCCCGGTCCGGCCTGTTCCTGCTCCCCGCACCAAGCCAATGGTGCGCGTCGTCAGCCCGGTCCGGCCCGTTCCTGCTCCACGCACCAAGCCAGGGGTGCGCATCATCAGCCCGGTCCGGCCCGTTCCTGCTCCCCGCACCAAGCCAATGGTGCGCGTCGTCAGCCCGGTCCGGCCTGTTCCTGCTCCCCGCACCAAGCCAATGGTGCGCGTCGTCAGCCCGGTCCGGCCCGTTCCTGCTCCACGCACCAAGCCAGGGGTGCGCATCGTCAGCCCAGTCCGGCCCAGTCCTGCTCCCCGCACCAAGCCTGTGGTGCGCATCGTCAGTCCGGCACAACCCATGCCTGGGTCACCGGTACCTGGTCAGGTACCGGTCAGCTGCTCCACATCGAAGTCCAAGCAATCCACTCCACTGATGTCCAGTCCAGCAACCAGCCAGCGGGGCCAGACCGGACCAGGGGTGCTACGGGGGGATAGTTGAGGGGTGGTGGTCATGCCCGGAGCCGGATCCACCTCCGAGGAGGAATGCCCACCCAGCCCTCCCCTGTTCGGTTATGTTTGGCGCGGTCGCAGTCCGCGCCTTTGGGGGGGGGGTACTGTCACACCCTGGCTCTGGGGACTCTAATATGTTGAGCCAGGGTGTGTAGAGTTTATGTGTGTTGTTCTATGTTCTCATTCTAGTCATTTGTGTTTCTATGTTGGCCGGTGTGGTTCTCAATCAGAGGCAACGTGAATCAGCTGTTGCTTGTTGTCTCTGATTGGGAACCATACTTAGTCAGCCTGTTTCCCACAATGTGTTGTGGGATCTTGTTCCGTGTTGGTTTATGTTTGTTAACCAAGGACTTCACGTTATCGTTTGTTGTTTTGTTCGTGTTGGAATCATTAAATAAATAAGTATGTTTGCAAATAACGCTGCGCGTTGGTCCTCCTCCTTCGACGACCGTGACACTGAAAGGCAAAACGGATCCTTAATCAGCCCTCCTTCTCTGAGACACTTGATACAGTGCATTTGGAAAATATTCAGACCCCTTGACTTTTTCCACATTTTGTTACAGCCTTATTCTGAAATTGATTAAATTGTTTTTTGTCCTCATCAATCTACACGCAATACCCCATAATGACAAAGCAAAAACAGGTTTTTGGATTTTTTTGCAAATGTATTAAAAATAAAAAATGAAAATATCACATTTACATAAGTAGTCAGACCAATTACTCAGTACTTTGTTGAAGCAACTTTGGCAGCGATTACAGCCTCGAGTCTTCTTGGGTATGACGCTACAAGCTTGGCAAACCTGTATTTGGGGAGTTTCTCCCATTTGTCTCTGCAGATCCTCTCAAGCTCTGTCAGGTTGGATGGGGAGCGTTGCTGCACAGCTATTTTCAGGTCTCAGCTTTGCACACTCTTGGCATTCTCTCAACCAGCTTCATGAGGTAGTCACCTGCATTGCATTTCAATTAACAGGTGTGCCTTCTTAAAAGTTGGTGGAATTTCTTTCCTTCGTAATGCGTTTGAGCCAATCAGTTGTGTTGTGACAAGGTAGGGGGGGTATACAGAAGATAGCCCTATTTGGTAAAAGACCAAGTCCATATTATGGCAAGAACAGCTCAAATAAGCAAAGAGAAATGACAGTCCATCATTACTTTAAGACATGAAGGTCAGTCAATACGGAACATTTCAATAACTTTGAAAGTTTCTTCAAGTGCAGTCGCAAAAACCATCAAGCGCTATGATGAAACGGGCTCTCATGAGGACCGCCACAGGAATGGAAGACCCAGATATAGCTCTAATGCAGAGGATAAGTTCATTAGAGTTACCAGCCTCAGAAATTGCAGCCCATATAAGTGCTTCACAGTTCAAAAAAATAAGCTGGTTGAGAGAATTGCAAGCGTGTGCAAAGCTGTCATCAAGGCAAAGGGTGGCTATTTGAAGAATCTCAAATATAAAATATTTGTTTATTTGTTTAACACTTTTTGGGTTACTACATGAAAAAACTCCAGAAAAACGCATGTCAAAAATGTTATAAATTGATTTTAATGAGGGAAATAAGTATTTGACCCCCTCTCAATCAGAAAGATTTCTGGCTCCCAGGTGTCTTTTATACAGGTAACGAGCTGAGATTAGGAGCACACTCTTAAAGGGAGTGCTCCTAATCTCAGCTTGTTACCTGTATAAAAGACACCTGTCCACAGAAGCAATCAATCAACCAGATTCCAAACTCTCCACCATGGCCAAGACCAAAGAGCTCTCCAAGGATGTCAGGGACAAGATTGTAGACCTACACAAGGCTGGAATGGGCTACAAGACTACCGCCAAGCAGCTTGGTGAGAAGGTGACAACAGTTGGTGCGATTATTCCCAAATGGAAGAAACACAAAAGAACTGTCAATCTCCCTCGGCCTGGGGCTCCATGCAAGATCTCACCTCGTGGAGTTGCAATGATCATGAGAACGGTGAGGAATCAGCCCAGAACTACACGGGAGAATCTTGTCAATGATCTCAAGGCAGCTGGGACCATAGTCACCAAGAAAACAATTGGTAACACACTACGCCGTGAAGGACTGAAATCCTGCAGCGCCCGCAAGGTCCCCCTGCTCAAGAAAGCACATATACATGCCCGTCTGAAGTTTGCCAATGAACATCTGAATGATTCAGAGGAGAACGGGGTGAAAGTGCTGTGGTCAGATGAGACCAAAATGTAGCTCTTTGGCATCAACTCAACTCGCCATGTTTGGAGGAGGAGGAATGCTGTCTATGACCCCAAGAACACCATCCCCACCGTCAAACATGGAGGTGGAAACATTATGCTTTGGGGGTGTTTTTCTGCTAAGGGGACAGGACAACTTCACTGCATCAAAGGGACGATGGACGGGGCCATGTACCGTCAAATCTTGGGTGAGAACCTCCTTCCCTCAGCCAGGGCATTGAAAATGGGTCGTGGATGGGTATTCCAGCATGACAATGACCCAAAACACACGGCCAAGGCAACAAAGGAGTGGCTCAAGAAGAAGCACATTAAGGTCCTGGAGTGGCCTAGCCAGTCTCCAGACCTTAATCCCATAGAAAATCTGTGGAGGGAGCTGAAGGTTCGAGTTGCCAAATGTCAGCCTCGAAACCTTAATGACTTGGAGAAGATCTGCAAAGAGGAGTGGGACAAAATCCCTCCTGAGATGTGTGCAAACCTGGTGGCCAACTACAAGAAACGTCTGACCTCTGTGATTGCCAACAAGGGTTTTGCCACCAAGTACTAAGTCATGTTTTGCAGAGGGGTCAAATACTTATTTCCCTCATTCAAATGCAAATCAATATATAACATTTTTGCCATGGGTTTTTCTGGATTTTTTTTGTTCAAATAAACCTACCATTAAAATTATAGACTGATCATGTCTTTGTCAGTGGGCAAACGTACAAAATCAGCAGGGGATCAAATACTTTTTTTCCCTCACAGTGTGACTAAAGAGTTAATCAGGGTGATTTTTCCACAAATAGACATGCATTTTCCTTTCCATGGTAGCAAGATCTTATCTATTTTTGCTAACTTTCTATTAAAATGTATTGTAGTGAGATCATTTATTTCTGGATATGAATACAGAGTATTTCCACATCACCATCAGACCATTTTATTGGTAAACTACACAGTAATGTAAAAGTTCTATTTTTTAGTGATCCAATACGTAATATAATAGTACACTTATCATAATTTGGTTGTAATCCAGAGAGGTTAGAAAAAGTATCTAGATCCTCTACGAGGCTGTGGAGAGATCCAAATTGTGGATTTAAAAGAAAAACTTTGTTTTTAAGCCCTGGATTTCTAGTCCCTTGATATTATTGTTAGATCTGATTTTAATAGCAAAAATGTCGTTGCCCATAATAAATAGATATGCCGATAGTGGACAACCTTGTTTTACTCCTCTTGACAGTTTAATACTTTCTGAGAAGTAGCCATTATTTCATATTTTACACGTAGGGCTACTATACATAACTTTAACCCATTGTATAAGAGATTCTCCAAAATTGAAATATTCCAGGCATTTATTAATACATTTGAGTCATGCTTTATCAAAAGCCTTTTCAAAGTCAGCTATATGAATACCAGGCCTGGTCCCAGATTTTTCATAGTGCTATATTGTTTCCAGTACTTGTCTTATATTTTCTCCAATATATCGACCATGTAAAGAACCTGTCTGATTAGGATGAATAATATCCGACAATACCTTTTTAATTCTATCCGCTATGCATTTAGCTATAATTTTTGCATCACAACACTGAAGTGTAAGGGGCCTCCATTTTTTTTAATGGACTGGATCTTTGTATTTACCACTTGGGTCCTGTTTCAGTAATAATGAAATCAGACCATATTGTTGAGTATCTGATAATCTACCATTTATATGGAAGTGGTTAAAACATGCTAATAAAGGTTCTCTGCGTACATCAAAATAGGTTTGGTATACCTCAACTGGTATGCCATCCAGCCCAGGAGTTTTCACCGACTTAAAGGCTTTAATTGCATCAAGAAGTTCCTCCTCTGTAATTTGGCCTTCACATGAGTCTTTCTGTACAGCTGTTAATTTTACATTATTAATAGAAAAAACTCCATACAATTAACTTTGGTTAGTGGAGATGGAGGAGACTGATACGAAAACATGCTTAAAGTACTTTGCTTCCTCTTTCAAAATATTGTTTGGTGAATCATGGGTGACTCCGTCATTTGTAACAAGTTTTAGTACATTCTTTTTGGTGGCATTTCTATGTTGAAGATTTAAAAATAATTTGTTGCATTTTTCCCCATATTCCATCCAGTTCACTTTATTTTATAATATATTACATTTGATCTTTCTTGAATAAGTTCCTCCATTTCTTTTTGTTTTTCCTCTAACTTATTCTGTGCCTCTATGGTACCGTTTTATTTGCTATCTATCTGTACTGTTAGTCCTTCTATTTCCTTCGTTAATATGAACTCTTTTGACCTAAATTGCTTTTGTTTTAAAGATGAGTTTTAAATTGCATGGCCTCTAATGGCACATTTAAAAGTGTCCCATACAATAAGAGGATTTGCTGTACCTATGTTATGTTGGAAAACGTCAGTTATAAAATCTTCTGTCCTGGTTAAAAACAAGTTATCATCCAATAGGCTTTGATTAAATGTCCAATATCCTCTCCCACATGGAAATTCTGTAAGACTAATGTATATGCCAATTATTTGATGGTCCGACCGCATTCTGTCCCCTATCAACACTTTTTTTCAGAGGATTGTTTGTCTAGAAAGAAAAATAGGGAGAGCCAACTAAAGGCGTTAACCCTCCGCATCTATCTATTATTATCCAGACCAACTGGAGCACTGGCCAGCCACTCTTAAATAGCACCTGGGCCAGCACAGGTGAAACACATTCCGACTAACATGATGGACAAGCCTGCACAGGTGTAACACATACTGACTAACGTGGTGACACCAATCGGTGCACCCCACATGCTAACGTCCTAACGTGCTAAAGTCCAACCTTGAAATGTAAATGGGAAAACCAAAGCCTGTAACAATACGACCCCAGCACTCACTTAAGTTGCAATTGAAGCTTTGTTTTCATTTTCAATGTTCAACCTTACAGCCCTGGTAGTCTTCTTCTGCTATACCAAGTTGCGGTCCCACACCACTGTCTACATGACAAACCTGGCCATCGCAGACCTCCTCCTGGTCCTCACTCTGCCCCTGAGAATCTACTACCATCTGGGCTTGTCCGGGTTACCTCAGATCTTGTGTGAAGGTAATGGCTGGCTCGGTGTTGTTAACAGGGTTGGGGTCTATAATGTGTCAATTTAGTCAAGTAAATTCTTCTTCTTCTTCTTCTTCATTCATTAATTCATTCCAGGGATGGGCCTGGTTCTTCTGGCCAACATGTATGGCAGCATATTCCTCCTCACCTGCATGTGTTTCGACCGCTGCATGGCCGTGTGCCTACCCATGTCGTCCTGGGTCCAGGAGGGGCGTAAGAAAGCTCCGCTGGTCTGCCTTGGGGTGTGGCTGCTCACCGCCGGCGCCAGCCTCCCCATCTACATCTCCAAACGCAGGTATAGGAAACAACTAGGGCCAAGAGTTTTTCCTGGTCAGGTTAACATGAGTGCTGATGTATGGGGGGGGGGGGGGGGGGGGGGGGGGCTGATCCTAGTTCAGCACTTCTGCTCTGAGACACTTTATGAATACAGGCCCTGGTCAGAGAGAACTCCTGGCCCTATAACATCATGTCAGTCCTAACACTGTTTTAATTCCTATATCCTCTGATATTCTCTCTCTCTCTCTCTCTCTCTCTCTCTCTCTCTCTCTCTCCCTATCTGTACCCTTTTTTCTCTCTCTTTCTCTCCCTCTCTCTCCCTCTCTCTTTAGAGAGGCATCCAATGACATCCAGGAGGTCAATTGTTTCGGGAACCTCCCAGTCTACGCCATTCAGCCCATGGCGGTCGCCTCAACTTTAACCGTCGGCTTCGGCATCCCCTTGGTGGTGATGTTAGTCTGTTCCTGGGCATTGATCCGGGCCATCACAAGGAGCTCCATAGCCCAAACAGACTTAATCGACTCTGGGAAGATTCAGAGGATGATCACCATCAGCCTGGTGATATTCCTCACCTGTTTCCTGCCCTACCATGGGACTCTGGCCCTCCTCTATGTCCATAGGGAGGCGATAACATGCCCCCTTCTGGCAGCATACCACTATAGGTAAGTAGCTTTAGGTTTACTGTATCTATTTATTTAGTACATTTCTTGTCTGTTATATTTTGATGAATATTACTTGTTATTTTTTTATGCACTTTATGCACTTTTGTTATTAAAAAGCTTTACAAATGTATTATTATCATTATTATCATTAGGCTTATTATTATTATTATTATTATTATTGCAGCCTAATGGTGGCCTGTCTGAATGCCATGTTGGACCCACTGGCCTACTACTTCACAACAGAGACGTTCAGGAGGAAGGTGGATAAGGATTCTGTCAGAAAGATGTTCCCACTCAACAGTCAGAACAGCTCTGAGGGGAACAACAGGGGATCCAGAGGACCAGTCAATACTTAAAGGACGTTCCATCAAGGGCGGAACAGTTTCTTGAACATTAGACAGAGTCTAACATTTGGGCATTATGGATGTTCCCTGTAGTCAGTCACAGCTCTGAGGGGATCCAGAGGACCTGTCAATACCTAGAAAACATTAAATATAGCTAAAATGTACAATCTTTATGACAATGATGTATTTATAAAAGGATCCACAGGCAGATGATTCTCATATTGTACTTTCATCCAATAAAGCCTCGTCTGCAGAACTGCATCGGTTAGCGACGTTTGCAGATGTTACACGAGGCTAAATGATGCAGTTCCAGGTTTCTGCAGGCCAAATGGTGTCAGGATCCACTGATTCCTGCGGGGTCTTTGCCTTGAGAAACCTGTTTTGTCAACTTTTCAGACTTTTACTGACATTGATTGGTTGATGAAGAGTAGCTAACTAAACTCCACTCCTTGGTGAAGGAAGTTTCTGATGAAATACACCAACGGAGTGGGGCAGACAGAGACCAGGCTTTGTGTAATTCAGCACCGACTACATCGATTCGCCCAAGGTCAATGCTTCAAAAAATTTAACTTATTGTCACGCCCTGACTCTAGGGACTTGTATTGGTTGAGTCAGGGTGTGTATTTTCTGTGTTGGGTTTATCTATGTTAGTTTCTAGATCGTTTAGATCTATGTTGGCCAGGGTGGTTCCCAATCAGAGGCAGCTGTAGCTCGTTGTCTCTGATTGGGGACCATACTTAGGTAGCCTGTTGGCACTAGTGGGGTGTGGGATCTTGTTCCGTGTGAGGTATGTTATTTGTCTACCTTGGACTTCACGTTTCGTTTGTTGTTTTTGTCGTGTGTTTATTCGTTAATAAATATGAATGCATATCACGCTGCGCCTTGGTCCATCTCGTCCGTAAACGATCGTGACAATTATGAAACTCTTACCTTGTATCTATGTTTGTCCTCTGTAGTTTCGTGCTTTTCTTTGTTTGCTGAAATCCATACTTTTTCAATAAACATTAATCAAACACAACCACCGACTGTTTGCTCATTGCTGTTGCTCTAAGATGGCACTCAGTGCAAATGCACATGTACCAATTTAATCTCAACAAGGAAACATGGCTTCCATGGACTGGACTGCTGGAGTTGAGCTACCCTGAAAATATATTTTTTATACACTGCTCAAAAAAATAAAGGGAACACTAAAATAACACATCCTAGATCTGAATGAATGAAATAATCTTATTAAATACTTTTTTCTTTACATAGTTGAATGTGCTGACAATAAAATCACACAAAAATTATCAATGGAAATCAAATTTATCAACCCATGGAGGTCTGGATTTGGAGTCACCCTCAAAATTAAAGTGGAAAACCACACTACAGGCTGATCCAACTTTGATGTAATGTCCTTAAAACAAGTCAAAGTGAGGCTCAGTAGTGTGTGTGGCCTCCACATGCCTGTATGACCTCCCTACAACGCCTGGGCATGCTCCTGATGAGGTGGCGGATGGTCTCCTGAGGGATCTCCTCTCAGACCTGGACTAAAGCATCCGCCAACTCCTGGACAGTCTGTGGTGCAACGTGGCGTTGGTGGATGGAGCGAGACATGATGTCCCAGATGTGCTCAATTGGATTCAAGTCTGGGGAACGGGCGGGCCAGTCCATAGCATCAATGCCTTCCTCTTGCAGGAACTGCTGACACACTCCAGCCACATGAGGTCTAGCATTGTCTTGCATTAGGAGGAACCCAGGGCCAACCGCACCAGCATATGGTCTCACAAGGGGTCTGAGGATCTCATCTCGGTACCTAATGGCAGTCAGGCTACCTCTGGCGAGCACATGGAGGGCTGTGCGGCCCCCCAAAGAAATGCCACCCCACACCTTGACTGACCCACCGCCAAACCGGTTATGCTGGAGGATGTTGCAGGCAGCAGAACGTTCTCCACGGCGTCTCCAGACTCTGTCACGTCTGTCACATGTGCTCAGTGTGAACCTGCTTTCATCTGTGAAGAGCACATGGCGCCAGTGGAGAATTTGCCAATCTTGGTGTTCTCTGGCAAATGCCAAACGTCCTGCACGGTGTTGGGCTGTAAGCACAACCCCCACCTATGGACGTCGGGCCCTCATACCACCCTCATGGAGTCTGTTTCTGACCGTTTGAGCAGACAAATGCACATTTGTGGCCTGCTGGAGGTCATTTTGCAGGGCTCTGGCAGTGCTCCTCCTCCTCCTCCTTGCACAAAGGCGGAGGTAGCAGTCCTGCTGCTGGGTTGTTGCCCTCCTACGGCCTCCTCCACGTCTCCTGATGTACTGGCCTGTCTCCTGGTAGCGCCTCCATGCTCTGGACACTACGCTGACAGACACAGCAAACCTTCTTGCCACAGCTCGCATTGATGTGCCATCCTGGATGAGCTGCACTACCTGAGCCACTTGTGTGGGTTGTAGACTCCGTCTCATGCTACCACTAGAGTGAAAGCACAAAGCACCGCCAGCATTCAAAAGTGACCAAAACATCAGCCAGGAAGCATAGGAACTGAGAAGTGGTCTGTGGTCACCATCTGCAAAACCAGTCCTTTTTTGGGGGGTGTCTTGCTAATTGCCTATAATTTCCACCTGTTGTCTATTCCATTTGCACAACAGCATGTGAAATGTATTATCAATCAGTGTTGCTTCCTAAGTGGACAGTTTGATTTCACAGAAGTGTGATTGACTTGGAGTTACATTGTGTTATTTAAGTGTTCCCTTTATTTTTTTGAGCAGTGTATGTTGCAAATGTGCAAGACGAACAGTGACAAATTCACTGGTACATACGGCGTGAGATGTAGCCACTGAACAAACTGATATGGTAGATTTCACACTTATCCACATCCACAGGAAATGCAGAATGATAAGATGGGAGTAACTTCAGATGGTGTTAAGACTAAAACATTATAATTAGACTAAAACATTATTATAATTACTCTAAAACATAATTTGTGACAAATGGGAAGACATCAATAACTGATGCTAAATGTAAATCCCATGAATGTAGTGCATATTATATGTTAATGCTCCTGAATGATGACACAACGAGTAAGCTCTTTTATAAACAGTTATTTTGAGTTGGCAAAATATTGTAACATCATGAAATGTATTTAGAATGTTTGTTTTGTAAATCTCGATCAAGTTTGAAGTGTTTTTTTTCACATTCCCTGCCTGAAAAAATCTTAACACTGACCATATGCAAAGGAAATGCAGCAAAAGATCTACAGTAGCTGAAGTTTTAATGAGTTTCAGTAGCTTGAATTATTTTATTGCTACATAAGGAAGTATTGCATGTCCCCAACCCACATCTTCCTTTCTGGTGCCTCCCAGCACCACCACTTCCTGTGGGCTCTTGCCCTCAGATAGACAGAGATATAAACACGTTTTGAGTTGTCATTGCAGTTATGCAAATGAAGATCAGGGCCAGTGTTGGGGAGTAGTGAACTACATGTAGTTCAACTAGTAATTTAACTACATTTTGTAGTAGCTTGGTGGTAGTTGAGCTCAATTCAAATCTAGGTAGTGTTTTCAGTAATTAATTATGTTTTTGCCATGTAGCGCTGTAGCTAACTACTGGAACTACACACTACTTTTTTTGCAAAAAGAGAAGAAAATATGGGTGAAGTAGACAATAATGTATTTTATTTTTTGGCTTCAGACCTGCCTAATTCTCACTTGAAACATCCCCACTGGGCACAGACATCAGTTCAACATCTAGTTTTGATTTACATTTGGTTAAGTTGTCAACTAACATGAATTCAACGAAAAATGTCACCCTGTCATTGGATTTAGGTTAAAAATAAAGAAAAAAAGAAATTCCCTTACATTGATGACTTTTTGCAAATCCAATCAGTTTTCCACATTGATTCAACGTCATCACATAGAAAAAAAATTAAATAATGATGTGGAAAAAACATTGATTCATCCAGTTTTTGTCAAGAAAAGGAAAATATACATTTTAGTCATTTAGCAGACGCTCTTATCCAGAGCGACATACAGTTAGTGAGTGCATACATTTTACATACTGGCCCCCCATGGGAAACGAACCCACAACCCTGGCGTTGCAAGTGCCATGCTCTACCAACTGAGCTACAGGCCTTTTTAATCTACACGTCACCTTGTCAAACCTATGTATTTTGGGTAGTCACATTTTCTCTGATGGCGCTGCATTCAGAGATGTTCCTCATAATGTGTTTCATTTGTCTGTCTGCATTATTTGCCAGGGAAGGGAAACATTTGGAGAATATTGAAGAATTGTATCCATGCACCCCAAAAATCTGAGGGGGCACAAAGTACTTGAGGATGGCTTGGGGGTGACCAGGAGAGGGGCTAGGCCCCCCGACTTTAAGTTGGAGAATTTTGCATTTGAAACAGCTTTTTCCTGCAATCTAGAGCCATAATCATTATGCTTAATTCTATGTCAAAAACATGTAAATGTTTCTGCTTATCTAAGCATACCTATTGAAATGGCTGCATCCTCCTGACTGGTGCTTATTTTTTTAAAGAAACAAAATACACTACATGGCAAAAAGTATGTGGAGAAATGTGTGGATTCGGCTATTTCAGCCACACCCGTTGTTGACAGGTGTATAAAATTGAGCACACAGCCATGCAGTCTCCATAGACAAACTTTGGCAGTGGAATGGCCATTACTGAAGAGCTCAGTGACTTTCAACGTGGCACTGTCATAGGATGTCACCTTTCCAACAAGTCAGTTTGTAAAATGTCTGCCCTGCTAGAGCTGCCCCGGTCAACTGTAAGTGCTGTTATTGTGAAGTGGAAACGTCTAGGAGCAACAACGGCTCAGCTGCGAAGTGGTAGGCCACACAAGCTCACAGAATGGGACCGCCGAGTGCTAAAGTGCGTAGCGTGTAAAAATCGTCTATCCTCAGTTGCAACACTCAATACCGAGTTCCAAACTGCCTCTGGAAGCAACATCAGCACGATAACTATTCATTGGGAGCTTCATGAAATGGATTTCCATGGCCGAGGAGCCACACACAAGCCTAAGATTACCATCCGCAATGCCAAGCGTCGGCTGGGGTGGTGTAAAGCTCGCCGCCATTGGACTCTGGAGCAGTGGAAACGCATTCTCTGGAATGATGAATCACACTTCACCATCTGGCAATCCAACGGATGAATCCGGGTTTGGTGGATGCCAGGAGAACACTACTTGCCCCAATGCATAGTGCCAACTGTAAAGTTTGGTGGAGGAGGAATAAGGGTCTAGGGCTGTTTCTCATGGTTCGGCTTAGGCCCCTTAGTTCCAGTGAAGGGAAATATTTTACACTACAGCATACAATGACGTTCTAGACGATTCTGTGCTTCCAACTTTGTGGCAACAGTTTGGGGAAGGCCCTTTCCTGTTTCAGCATGACAATGCCCCCGTGCACAAAGCGAGGTCCATACAGAAATGGTTTGTCGAGATTGGTGTGGAAGAACTTGACAGGCCTGCACATAGCCCTAATCTCAACCCCATCGAACACCTTTGGGATGAATTGGAACGACTGCGAGCCAGGCCTAATCGCCCAACATCAGTGCCCAACCTCACTAATGCTCTTGTGGCTGAATGGAAGCAAGTCCCTGCAGCAATGTTCCAACATCTAGTGGAAAGCCTTCCCAGAAGAGAGGAGGCTGTTATAGAAGCAATGGGGGGACCAACTCCATATTAATGCCCATGATTTTGGAATGAGATGTTGGCCATGTAGTGTATTTTTCTCTGCATCTCTGCTAAAATCTGAATTCCCAATTAAATTAACCCCTATTTATCAGTTTACCACAAGGTTTACAAAGCGGTTGTTCATTTGCCGACATCAAATTCAAAGCAATCGGCGCACTGCCTAAATGGCCGTACTGGCAAAGCAAACAGGCACTGGCTCTGCTTTCTAAAAGTGAGAGAAAAGGCTGCAGGCTGGCAGCTGCTCTCCGAACGGTGCTCCGCATGGTCCTAAAGCCAGCCCACATTACGCTAAACAGCCATTGCATTTTAATCGAGATTGGAATGATTTTAGTCAACTTATTTTTTGCATACTTAAAATGTTTTGGTCCTGCCATACCCAACGCCCCTGAGATACACCTTGTTTGATTATTTTCCCATATTTGAGTGTGTTGTGTGTGTGTGTGTGTGTGTGTGTGTGTGTGTGTGTGTGTGTGTGTGTGTGTGTGTGTGTGTGTGTGTGTGTGTGTGTGTGTGTGTGTGTGTCTGTCTGTGTGTGTGTCTGTGTGTGCGTTCGTGTTAATTTACATTACATTATAGGCAATTTCCCTTTTATAACTAAGGTTATCGGTATGTGTTCTGGTTTGTCTGCAGGCCTCTACAGTATGTTGACGACAAACTGGGCATAGGTCTGTGTGACAGTGTGTTGGTGTAAGAATGCAGGAGAGTGGTTAAACGGATACACCCCCAGAGTCAGATGAACTCGGCAATACCATTTGTATGTCTCCGCATGCAGTTTGAAAGAAGTTGCTAACGTGCGCTATGCGCAATTGCTAACTAGCGTTAGCACAATGACTGGAACTCTATGGGTATCTGCTAGCATGCTAGCAGATGCTTGCAGGTACCCAAAGACTTCGCTGGGCCAATTGTGTGCCGCCCTATGGGACTCCCGATCACGGCCGGTTGTCATACAGCCCGGGATCAAACCAGCTATCTTGTGTGAAAAGAGTACAGGAAATTTCTGTCGTATGTGTGTGTGTGTTCTCTGTATGTGGTGTGTAAATAGTGCATGTGTCTGGTTTGTGTGTGTGTGCATGTGTGCGCGTGTGCAATCACGCTTGAGTGTGTGCGTGCATGTGTGTTTGTCTTAGCATCTCAATAGATAAGTATCTGTGTGAAGTGTCTGACCTCTCTCTAACTGTGTTGATCCAGCCCCATCTCTCCACAGCTGAGAAAAGGTGAAGAAGTCACTACCACATTCTGCAAAGTGCAAACAACAAACACAGGGGGATACCCCAAACACAGTGGCACAGACTACCACAATTGTTTATCTAGGCCATATATATTACTGCAACTTCTAGGCTTACTAGGCTATCAAATAAACTACCTTAGGCCTACTTATAAACTCAGCAAAAAATACATAATTCATAAAAATCCAAATAACTTCACAGATCTTCATTGTAAAGGGTTTAAACACTGTTTCCCATGCTTGTTCAATGAACCAATTAATGAACATGCACCTGTGGAACGGTCATTATGACACTAACAGCTTACAGACAGTATGCAATTAAGGTCACAGTTATGAAAACTTAGGACACTAAAGAGGCCTTTCTACTGACTATGAAAAACACCAAAAGAAATATGCCCAGGGTCCCTGCTCATCGGTGTGAACGTGCCTTAGGCATGCTGCAAGGAGGCATGAGGACTGCAGATGTGGCCAGGGCAATAAATTACAATGTCCGTACTGTGAGACGCCTAAGACAGCGCTACAGGGAGACAGGACGGACAGCTGATCGTCCTCGCAGTGGCAGACCACGTGTAACAACACCTGCACAGGATCGGTACATCCGAACATCACACCTGCGGGACAGGTACAGGATGGCAACAACACCTGCCTAAGTTACACCAGGAACGCACAATCCCTCCATCAGTGCTCAGACTGTCCGCAATAGGCTGAGAGAGGCTGGACTGAGGGCTTGTAGGCCTGTTGTAAGGCAGGTCCTCACCAGACATCACCGGCAACAATGTCGCCTATGGGCACAAACTCACCGTCGCTGGACCAGACAGGACTGGCAAAAAGTGCTCTTCACTGACGAGTCGCGGTTTTGTCTCACCAGGGGTGATGGTCGGATTCGCGTTTATCGTCGAAGGAATGAGCGTTACACTGAGGCCTGTACTCTGGAGCGGGATCGATTTGGAGGTGGAGGGTCCGTCATGGTCTGGGACGGTGTGTCACAGCATCATCGGACTGAGCTTGTTGTCATTGCAGGCAATCTCAACGCTGTGCGTTACAGGGAAGACATCCTCCTTCCTCATGTGGTACCCTTCCTGCAGGCTCATTCTGACCCTCCAGCTTGACAATGCCACCAGCCATACTGCTCGTTCTGTGCGTGATTTCCTGCAAGACAGGAATGTCAGTGTTCTGCCATGGCCAGCGAAGAGCCCGGATTTCAATCCCATTGAGCACATCTGGGACCTGTTGGATCGGAGGGTGAGGGCTAGAGCCATTCCCCCCAGAAATGTCAGGGAACTTGCAGGTGCCTTGATGGAAGAGTGGGGTAACATCTCACAGCAAGAACTGGCAAATCTGGTGCAGTCCATGAGGAGGAGATGCACTGCAGTACTTAATGCAGCTGGTGGCCACACCAGATACTGACTGTTACTTTTGATTTTGACCCCCCCCCCCCCCCCCCCCCCCCCCCCCCCCCTTTGTTCAGGGACCCATTATTCAATTTCTGTTAGTCACATGTCTGTGGAACTTGTTCAGTTTATGTCTCAGTTGTTGAATCTTGTTATGTTCATACAAATATTTACACATGTTAAGTTTGCTGAAAATATACTCAGTTGACAGTGAGAGGACGTTTCTTTTTTTTTGCTGAGTTTACTTAGAAGTAGGCCTATAGGTAAGCCTCGTAAATATACTTATAATTGTTCATGCTTTGTTAAATTTGTCTAGATTACCAATTTCAGAACCAAGTCTGTGGCTGTCGCAATCTTGTATATCAAAATATCAGCAGACTAGGCTATAGTATATAGGCGTAAATAATTTAACACCATTCCGTCCCCAACAGCCTAAAACATTGACCAGGTGCAGGAGTGAGCTGGAGGGAAAAAAACTAATTCGGATTTAAGGTCTTAAGATAGCCATTAAGGCTTTAGCACCCAGACCATTCTTCTGTTAACTGGGGGTCATTACGGCCGGACTATAGCATAGAAAAGAAAGAGAGAGACCTTAACGCGCTCCATTGGAGTGTGTCCATCCACGAGATAAAGAGGGGGACAATAATAAGAGAGAGAGAGAGAGAGGGGGGGGGGTTGGTCGTTGGTAAAGAAGCGCTAGGAAAGGGGGATGGAAAAGAAGGGTGGCAGGGAGAAGGGACGGAGATAATAGGTTGAGAATTCTTCCATTGCGATATTGAAAAGAAGGGTTGTGTGGAGATCTCTTTAGCTGCTATTGTTGTGCGACTTTTTTCATCCCGTCGGACTTTCTTTTGTGTTTGGGTGCTGAAAAGTCTGAAGGTTGGTTTTATTGGTGCAGTTTCTTCGATTGCATGTTGTTTATGTCTAAATCAATACATTTTCTTACATTTTCTTAATTAACAGATGATTTCCGTTTTCTTATTAATACATGTATTATAGGCATAGATTAACTAAGTAGCAAATTATAGTAACACTTTAGGGAGGGTAATGATGTGTTATCATTGACAACTGTAACGGAATTATAGATATATCACCATGTCAATTATCTTTAGTTAGGCAATTAAGAAAACAAGAACAAGTTCTGCTAAATGTATCAGCAGGACCAGGTTACTTACGGGCAAAATCACTTCCTGATCCCGAGATGACATCATTGATCATAACGTTCTACCCAGCAATGAAATTATTTGCGCATCACCTTTCCCAACTCCCTTTCCCATCCGCGTTCTACAGGTCGCCCCCGTCCGCGCCCCCCTCCTACCCTCCCCATTCTCCCGCTTGACAACAGCGGGGAGAATCGGACCCTGTGCCATGAAACGTGCCCACGGCGGGGCTGTGGGAAAGTTCGGGGGAGAGCGCACCCACACATTGTCATGGTAATGTTGGTGGGTGGAGATGTTGGGGGCGCGAGGCTGTGGTGCGTAAAATACATATATATATCAGGGTAGCGCGCCGTTACCCCTTCTCCAGTGTTCCTTTCTCCCTCTCTATTGATCTATTCGTTCATAAAATACTAAACAGTGCAAACGGAGTTTTGTGAGGGAGTATAGCTGCAGAAGAGAGGGGCCATAAGGACACAGATTGTGCGCCTTGCAGCTCGAGGATTACGGCCTTCAACATGGGACACGGGGGAAATGGGCCTGAGAGGAATTTTAGCGCTAAAGAAGAACGAAAGGTAAGCTTGTTGCAATTAAATTGGCCTACATGAAACAGTTTCGATATGAGGCATTTGGGCCTCATGTAAGGAACTGGGTAATACATCAAGTAAAGGGTTGTGCAGGAATTGTGCTTAGTAAAAACATTTTACATTTAAAATCCTTAATTGCATTTATGCATCATGTAAATAAATGCATGCATATTGCACTACCACAATGCATGCATTGATGCAATGTGCAGAGAGTTGGTTTGAGTATGCAGACTTTGCATCCATGGGTGGGGGGTGGGGGGTGGGTGGCCAGAGAAGGGTTGGCTAGGGTGTTCTATCTCCAAAGTGTCTATTACAGACTTGATTTGAGTATAAAATTGAATCACATTTCCCCTAATATTAAATTGAAACCACTGAAATGTAACAATAATTTCTGATGACATCCATTCAAATCCTTTCAAACAATAGCTAAACTGACTGATTAGTTTTGATCAACATTGATAAACATTGGTGGTGTTCTATTTCTTTATGCCTTTATCATAAATGGTCACTGTAAATGTTTAAACAATCGTCAAGGCATCAATTGGTTAATATGTAGACAGATGTATTAATTGGCCTGTTGATTTGATTGAAAGCTGCGGAAGCCTCTAATTGAGAAGAAGAGGCGGGAGCGCATCAACTGCAGTCTGGAACAACTGAAAGGGATCATGGTGGATGCATACAACCTGGATGTGAGTACACACACACACACACACACACACACACACACACACACACAAGATGATAATATTTTGAGAATGCAATTGCAAATTACATTCTTCCTCCCATCTCCTTCTGATTCACTCCTCTTACACAGCAATCTAAACTGGAGAAGGCTGATGTACTGGAGGTTACTGTGCAACATATGGAGGGTCTGCAGAAGGGTCACGGTTCAGGTAAGCACCTAACACACACACACACACACACACACACCGTCACCTTTGAAGACAGTAGTCCACTTGGCTGTTTTCATTCTTAAAACGTTGTTCCAAGTTCTAACAGAACATACAGAACCTGTTTAAAATTCTTACAGTGATGGAAGCCTTGGAACCTCCCATGATGTGGAGGATTATCATGCGTTGTCAATCATTGAATAATGTCACCCAATAGGGGTCCTTCACTCTACATATCAATGAGCTCCCATTGGGTCAAATCAGTCAAATGATTGACAACAGAGACAAACTGGGATTCAAAGCAAGCCAGGGAATGGGATAGACACTCCTTCACTACCCTGATCACACATTTCACGAGTTGATATCAACTGATTTGTTTTATTTCAAGTTATTTTAAGTAATATATTCTATTGACTGATATAAACCTGTTCACAAAGCTCACTGCATATTAATTAGTGCATAATACCATCAATATCCTGCATACCCTACTATGTGGTAACTACGCATTGTAGGCCTACTAAGCCCGTGAGTTGGTGTTCCATCCTGACTCACCGCTTCCCCCTTGTGTTCGTATCTCTCTCTAGGTTCCCCTTCTGGTCCCAGTATAGGGTTTGAGTCCCGGCATCGCTACAGCAGTGGATACATCCAGTGTATGCATGAGGTCCACAACCTGCTCCTGAGCTGCCCAGGCATGGACAAGCCACTGGGGGCCCGGCTCCTCAACCACCTGCTCAAGTCTCTGCCCCACATCAGCTCTGAGACTGGGGCTGGGAACACTGGTGGCAATGGGACCAATGGTATCAATCGGACTCCGACTAGGGCTATTGGTATTAGTAATAGTAACAGTGGTAGTATTGGTGGTGGTAGTAGTAATGGTGGTAGTCCCATGTCTGGATCTGGGCCTGCCTCCCCTCCCCAGTCTCCACTTTCTCTGCCATCTGGAGGTGGAGCTCAGTCATTCCAGCCTCGCTGTTTACAGATGCATCATGCCAAGCCCCCCACGCAGCCATCACCCCCACCCATAGGATGTTCACCGCTCCACGCCCTTCGCAGCCAGGTACATTCTGGTAGAGATGGGAGGGATCAGCAGAAGCCCTTCTCCTCCTCCTCCTCTCCTAGCTCCCCCAAATCCTCCCCCAATCTACCCCAGCCTGGGGTGTTTCACCCCGCCCCCCTGTCCCCTTTCTTCCCCCCTGGGGGAGACCCCTCCATGTGGAGGCCTTGGTGAAGACCTCAGGGAACAGACAAACACACACCTTCCATGATTTTTTCCTGAACCCGTGACCTGACAAGGAAAATGCCCAGGCAGCAGGCCGACTAGGGCCTGGAGTTTTTCCTAGTCAGGTCATAATGATGTGGCAAGGAAAAACTCAGGGCCCTTTTATGTTTTATGTAACCCATCTCATGGGATCGCTCAATTCTGTTTTTACTGGATCTAGTGGAGGATTCAGAAAATGCAGATCCCGGTGTATCTGCAGTTTCACTTATGTAAAGTTAAAACCAATGTGTTGTGGTGCGACTGGGCCAGCGCCCTAGGAACATGGCTCTGGTGCTCTGCTATATTACACAATGCCAACAGTTCTATAGCCACATGGCAAAATGAAAGGATCTAATTTTCACTTTTAAATGTTTGGTCATTTATACCTTTTAGACATAAACATATTTTATGAGATTGGGGAGGAGTAAGCATTATAGCTATTTCAAGTTTGTACAGTTTTTTTCTTTTTTTTCTTCCTATGTTGTAAACTTCTCTTTTCAAATAGTTAATATTTTGTGTTTTAGAAGTGTATCAAAATGTTTTAGTTGAATTTCTTGTCACTCATCTTTAATTGATTTATTAATTAATTGATACAACTGATTAATTGATTCAGGTCTAGCTATGTTCGGTAATTAAAAACTCAATGACTTCGGAAATGTCTTCATCCTTGTATATTACAAGAAGTTGCTAGGCTGTTTCATATTGAAGCAGCTAAATAAAGTGTTGTTGGCTGACAGTTGAAGTGTTGTATGGTATCGAAATTGAATAAAAGATGTAAAACAACTGTAGCCTAAATGTGAATCTTTTTATACCTGTCTCATATTAAAGCAGCCAAAATAAAGTGTGAAGTTGGTTGACAGTCGGAGCTTATGGTTTCAGAATTGATTAAAACGTTCTAAAAACAACAAGTAATGCAATTGAATTGACAATTACATTGATATTGTATGAATATCAAATACTAAAAATATAATTATATTTCTGATGCATAGTAAGATAAACATAATTATGTTGCTATGTATGATAGGCTAAATTGATGTGCTTTTCGTTGTCGACAGATAGCGTGGCCGAGCGGTCTAAGGCGCTGGATTAAGGCTCCAGTCTCTTCGGGGGCGTGGGTTCGAATCCCACCGCTGTCATGAAATCTTTTGACGGAACTTTAGTGAGTGATTATTGCCGAGTCACCACTCAAAACTGGGTGATTAATTTCCAAGACGATGTGCTGTAATGCATAGATCTATCCTTACTAGAAAAAGTTGCGTGTGAGTGACTGTCAAATGAATCATGACCTCCGAATATCCGCTCTAGGGTACACTCGGAAGTCAATATGTATTACCACTACGTAGCACTGTTGCGTTACTAATTGCCTTTTCGGCTACTTCTGGCTTGTGTGTTCACTTCAAGGGCATTTCCACACTTCCAAATTCACTAAATGTTCTCCTAAACGATTGGTTTACATTTCCCCCATTAAGAGAAGGCTTATGTGAACCATTAGGCCTATATATTATTGTTTTCACCCCACAGAGAGAGAGAGAGAGAGAGAGAGAGAGAGAGAGAGAGAGAGAGAGAGAGACTGAGTCTGGAAAACTGTCTGAGTAGTTCAACATATGGAATTCAAGGTATAAAATTATCTCTAAAAGAACATAGTGTACAGCAGACTCCATGCTTTTTTCCATAGGCTCTGTCATTCTTGAAATAGCAGAAAGAGAGAGAGAGAGAGAGAGAGAGAGAGAGAGAGAGAGAGAGAGAGAGAGAGAGAGAGAGAGAGAGATCAGAGTGAGAGATCAGAGTGAGAGATAAATTCTATGTGTAAGAATGGAGGGTATAGAGAGAGGGGGGTCTGTGGCCTTTGGCACACCTGTGTGAGACAGAGAGAGATCAAAGTGAGAGAGATAGCGAGAGAGACTGTATATATGGGTGTAAGAAGAGAGGGTATAGAGAGAGCAGGGGAAGTTTGAACGTGTTTGAGAGCTGTGGAACCAGATACAGCTGTAGAGGGGGAGGAAGACCACTGGGCACACACTGGTTGAATCAACGTCGTTTCCACTTCATTTCAATGAAATTACGTTGAACCAACGTGGAATAGACGTTGAATTGACGTCTGTGCCCAGTGGGAGGTGCGTGGGGTGAAGATAGGTATGTGGCAGTTGAATGAGTAACACATGGGAAATGTTGCTGTCTAGCTAGGCTAGGGAGGCCCGTGCCTCAGTCAGTAATGTGATACATACTCTGCGGTCCACTTTCAGCTTTCAGACATGTAACCTACACACGCGCACACACGCGCAAAGGCATTATTATGATGATAATAATAATCACCACATGACCATGAAACTGGGGGTCACATAATTCTGTAACAGTAGGCTCTAACAGTGTAACACATTTTTGTAACAACTCAAACAGAATTAGTGCCAAAATTAGTTTAATCTTAAAACCAAGAAAATCCATCCATTAAACATGGATTTCCATAAAGTAGCCTAAACCATGAGTTCTTAAAAAAATATTAAACCTCAAACCACTTTGACAAATCCGACTGGTCCAGCTACTCTGTGTAGGTCACAGGAGGTTGGTGGCACCTTAATTGGGGAGGACGGGCTCGTGATAATGGCTGGAGCGGAATTAGTGGAATGGTATCAAATACATCAAACACATGGTTGCCATTTGTTTGATGCCATTCCATTTGCTCCGTTCCAGCCATTTTTATGAGCAGTCCTTCCCTCAGCAGCCTCCACTGGTGTAGCTCTAAATGTAAATCCGAGACACTCAAATTAGTACAATATGTTACGTTTGTTATGGTTACATAAAACAGAAAGTTACTTAAGGCAAAAACCAAAGGAGGGTGGTTGGTTGGGGTGGAAGTGTAGCATTTAAGGTGAACATCTACCAACCCAAAGGTTGCATGTTTGAATCCCATCACAGATAACTTTATCTAATTTGCAACTTTTGAACTATTTACTACTTTTTAGCTACTTTGCAAGTACTTAGCATGTTAGCTAACCCTTCCCCTAACCTTAATCTTAACCCTTTAACCTAACTCCTAACCCTAACCTTAACCTTAACCTTAACCCTAACCTTAAAGGGAAACTTTGGGATTTTGGCAATGAGGCCCTTTATCTACTTCCCCAGAGTCAGATGAACTCGAGGATACCATTTTTATGTCTCTGTGACCAGTATGAAGGAATACATACAGTGCATTTGGAAAATATTCAGATCCCTTGACTTTTTCCAAATGTTGTTACCTTACAGCCTTATTCTAAAATTGATTAAATAATTGTTTTCCCTCATCAATCTACACACAATACCCCATAATGACAAAGCAAAAACAGGTTTTTAGAAATACCTTATTTACATAAGTATTCAGACCCTTTGCTATGAGATTCGAAATTGAACTCAGGTGCATCCTGTTTCCATTGATCATCCTTGAGATGTTTCTACAACTTGATTGGAGTTCACCTGTGGTAAATTCAATTGATTGGATATGATTTGGAAAGGGACACACCTGTCTGTCACGGTTTCGGCCGAGGCTGCTCCTCCTCCTGGTTCGGGCAGGCTTCGGCGGTCGTCGTCCCCGGAGTACTAGCTGCCACCGATCTATGTTTCATGTTCGTTTGGTTTTGTCTTGATGTTGTACACCTGTGTCTTGTTAGTCCTCGTTAGTGTCCTATTTAGTTCTCGTTGGTTGTGTGTGTCTTTGTGTGTGATCGCTCTTCTGTTTCGTGTTGGAGCTACTATTTTCCCTCCAGTGTTTTGGAGAGGTTCTTTTTGCACATGTTAGTGCGCCGTTTGTTTTGACGCCTGTGTGCGCCGTGTATTCGCCTTCGGGCTTATTGTGCTTATTTCTTTTCGTGAATATAGCACTAAAGTCTTTTGGACTGAGCCTCTGCGTCCTGCGCCTGATTCATACACCACACCCACCTTCAGCACCCAATGACAGAATCACACACCAACATGGAATCAGCAGGATCGGCAGTTACGCCTGAGTCGCTCGAGGAGCATATCCGTGGGCAAGATGACCAGATAAGACAACTGGGGACCGCTCTACAGGACATAATCAACACCTTGCACCGATGGGAGGCCAGCAGGGTACCCACACCTCCACCTACCCTGCCCACCCCATCGGCCGGTCCACCAGTCCCAGGTTCGGAACCCAGGGGGATTCGGCTCTCGCTCCCGAGGGCGTATGACGGAACAGCTGCCGGGTGTCAGGGGTTCCTCCTGCAGGTGGAGCTCTACCTGGCCACTGTACACCCGGTGCCCTCGGGACACGAGAGCGTTTCCGCCCTCATCTCCTGTCTCACGGGCAAGGCGTTGGAGTGGGCTAACGCCGAGTGGAGGAAGATGGACGCCAACACCATCTCCTACGCCGAGTTCTCCCGTCGCTTCAAGGCCGTGTTCGACCATCCACCTGAGGGCAAAGCGGCGGGGGAGCGTCTAGTCCACCTGAGACAGGGGAGGAGGAGCGCACAGGCCGTTTGCTTTAGAGTTCCGGACTCTAGCGGCGGACGCAGGGTGGAATGAACGGGCCCTCATCGACCATTTTCGATGTAGCCTACGGGAGGACGTTCAACGTGAGTTGGCCTGCAGGGATACCCATCTTACCTTCGACCAGTTGGTCGATATGTCCATCCGTCTGGACACCCTGCTGGCCACCCGTGGACGTCCCGAGGGGGGTCCTTCCATTCCGCCCTCCGGCACCTCTGAGCCGAGCCCTATGGAGCTCGGGGGTGCCGGCGCTAGAGAAAGGAGGAGGAGGAGCCCGAGGGGGCCTGTCTCCTGCACCAAGTGCGGTCGTGGAGGGCACACTGCGGCCAGGTGCTGGGGAGGGTTCTCCGGGGGAGAAGACAACAGGCCACGCACTGGGGGGGCCTCCCAGGTGAGTAGACGTCCCACTTACCCAGAGCTTTCTGTTGCGCACTTTTGTATACCTGTTTGTTTTCCACAGGTTGCACCTCTTTCCCAGCATAAGGCGCTAGTAG